AAAGTCTTTTACACAATTTCCCTCTTACTTTGACAAATGATCACCCAAAACATGTTGGGTGTCCAGTGTTTTTTCTAAATCTGTGTGCCATTTTGCTACCTTTTAAAATGGACAAAAGCATCTCACAGAGCTAAAAACATCAGTAGCCGTCTTGGAGCCTTAGTACTTTTATAGATAACAGCATGTAATACAGTATCAGAAACCACATACATAAGTCTATTCAAGCTTAATTAATAACTTGACATAGTTGGGGCAAGTGTGTGATGATTTACACAATGATAATTATGTTTCTGCTACTTGTTAGCTACATTAGCATCATAGTTCTGGTGCAAAACTAGACGCAAACACATCTTGGCCGATAGACTACATTTAGGTTAAGGAATAAAGGATAAAACAGATTTTTCACCAAACCGTATTCCTTTAAACAACATACCAGGCAGCTACAGCAGTGTCTTGCCTTTGTTTCCTGTGTATGCGCTAGTCAGCAGTTAGCAAAGATATATAGCACACAGTGCTCCCCCAAGCAGTGGGTATAAAGCCATGGTTTCATATGACCAAAGCCATCATCTATGCACCTTTCATCATTCACTTCAGATACTTCAGCCAACAATACTAAAGTGGCACACAAAGAAGGAAAGGTGATGTTAAGTGCTAGCATTCCTGCTCTGCATGCTTCCCTTCATCATCAGCCAGAACATTATCATGTTTGGCCAAACTTTTCTATCCAGGGAGTGCTAATCCAGTATTAGTGTACTTTCCATCCACAGCAGCCTTAATTTTTTATCAGTAAAAGGTAAAAAAAATTTTGCCTTTTTACCTAATTTAGCAACCTCAATTTTACCAATAAAAGGTGGCACACAATGCAGGTATAATGATGGAGTGCAAGAGGTCAGGTTCTGCAGGATTTAGTTCATCTTTAGCCAGGTTGTTAGCATTTTTGGACAAACTGTTTGTTCCTAATTTATAATGATCCAATCTGTTTTCTGTCTACAGGAACCTTATTTATCCTCATTCAAAAAACATAGAGCGTAGAGCAAAGACGATGCTAGGTGCTACAGTTGTTTATCATTAGTAAGAATGTTAGCATTTTTGGCCAAACTATTCCTTTTCAAGAAATCCTGATCCACAACAAACCTGTTTCCTGTTCACAGCTCTCTCACTCATTTCATAAAAAGGAGAGGTAATATAAGAAAGATGATGCTGAGTGTTAGCTATTACAGCAGTGCTTTTGTTCACCAATAGAAAGAGTTTTTTTGGTTAAATGATCCTGATCAATGACCAGTTTGTTTTCTGTCCATGGTAATCTCTATCAATTTTACCAAAAGGAGCTGGCACTCAATGAAGGAAAGATAATGCTAAGTGCTACTTTCAGGTTCATACATCTGTTCATCATTAGCCGGAATGTTAGCATCTCTGGCCTAACTATTCCTTTCCAAGGAGTCCCAATCCACAACAGCCTCTGTCCACAGCAGCCTCACTCAGTATTATTAAAAAATGAGAAGTGCTCCTGAATCAGTGCCTGGAAGGCCAGATTTCTCTCAACCAGTGTCTTCAGGCTGGTGGGTTAGTATGCCTGCAGGGGGACAAGGGCTTTGGTGGAGGAGGATGAGGAGGCTGGGGAGCCTTCACTCGTGGCCTTTGTGGGTGCCAGAGATAGGAGGCTTACACACAGCTTCAGGCATCACTGATCCCTCTGGCCAAGCACCATTGCTGACAATTTCCTACTGCAGCACACCAGCCCTCCTGCCTAATTCCTGATTTTTAATCTGCTGTTTCTGCTCACAGAGCAGTGTGTGTGTGTGTGTGTGTGTGTGAGTGTGTGTGTGTGTGTGTGTGCATATCAGCTACACTTTATGTGAACCGTAAGACAGATAGAGTGGGATCAATATAACATGTCAGATGACAAATATTGAACACTCTAAATAGTTCTGTCCCAAAGTTCTACACCTGATAGGATTTTAAGCTACTCTGAGCAAAGTACATATTTTTTAAAACAGTATCTTCTCTGACCAGTGAAAACACATCAATAAAACAATCAAATCAGTCATTGATTATGGATCAGTGTATTTGTGGCCTGAAAGCTGAGCTCATATCTCAAGCTGTCTGAGGCCTGACAGAAGAATTTTGAAAAGCAATAACATTTTGCGAAGGCGTCCAAATGATTATTCCAGGTGGGTTGAAGGAGTGAACAGTGTCCTGCCCTCTACTGCCCTGTGCGCTGGCATTAATGAACCCAATTACTCTCTCTCTCCTGCCTGTGATCAGGGACAAAGGGCATGATATTCTCTCTGTATGGCCTGGGGTGTAGTGTCTGTGTGTGTGTTTGTATTTGTTTTCATGTATTTTTAGGACAGAAATCTCTTCTATATAGAAAACTAGACAAACACAGTACCTGTTTTTTTTTACTGAGTTTAATATATATATATATATATATATATATATATATATATATATATATATATATATATTACAACATTTTTACATATATTACTTACATGCATATAATACATATGGGACATATTTATGACTCCATGCCCTCACAAGGCCTAAAAACAAACAAATGTGTATTTGTGCAACAGTGTGTGTGGATATTATTACGGATGGAGCCTCACATGGTCTTCCTCACATGGCAACAGGAAAGCACGGCTTAGCAACCGGTTGCTAAGGACCAAAGCGGAGGCGAGGCCCCCCAGTGAGTTTCCATGCCAATTGAAGGAATTCCCCCCACGACCAAGCCGCTGCATGCCACTACTGGGTTGCCATGGTGATTGTGTGGAGGCGACAGAGTAAGGGATGGAGGCCAGATGTGTCCTTTGATCTGAGTGGTGGAGCTAGAAAACTAGAAATAACTACAGATATACACAATAACAGTGGATAACAGCACAGGTTCATGTGGTTTCTGACACTGACAGTTACAAAAATAAATAAACAACAACTGTATATCATACAGAAAAACACATAAGTAAGTCTATTTGAGGTTACTGGATGTGGTCTAAGGCAAGTGTGTGATGATTTAGGCATGCAGTTTGCACAATGCTATTTGATGGGTTAAGTTTCTATTATTTGTTACATTAGCCTGTCCAATACAAAACTAAGGCAAACTTCAGACACCAAATATGTCTTGGCTAATCAACTGTATTTGGGGGAACGCTGTGTAATTTTTTTAGCCAATGTATCACTTTAAGCTGCTCACAGCTCACAGTTCAATGTCAGTCTGAAGCAGAACTAACAAGATTGTGAAAAGAAGTCAGAACTGTCTGAACAGTGTACTTTGAGAAGTGCTGAAAACTTTGTGTACCTGTTCAAAGCAGGAGGATTAGACATGTCACCATGGTGACACAGTGGGTGAAATGACAAGTTGAAAGAATATTCACTGCCCTCTTTTGGTCACAAGCGGAACAGCAGTAAAAACACTGTGACATTCATTGGGTGGGGACCATCAATGTCAATGCCAGTCATCCCCAAGTGACCACTGAAAAATGTGTACAGTGTACAATAAAGTGCTACAGAGTCCAATGGGCCTCCTATTTATATCCTTTTAGCATTCCAAACAAGCACCAATAACTTCCATACTCCCTATAAATAGCAATCATTCGTCTTCATTAATGGCCTTTCTCAGACAAAGCTGAATTTGACGTGACTTCACATAGAGAGGAATGAAACTGAGAGGCAGCTTTCCCATACATGGACATGCTCACAGCATTACATCATTTTACTGCACAATCTCACCAACGTACCATTAAACCAGTTTTTGCAACTGAAAGGTAACAAAAGGGCAACAATCAGTCAACCCATGGTTTTAGGTCTTGAGTGAGCATACGGTGTAATGTATGACTGCAGAATCTTGCTGGCGCACTATGCAAGCAAAGAAAGGCTGAAGTTGCATAAGGATGACCTGCTATGACCCCAAACTGAAAACAATGGGTGCTAAATATATATCTCCCCCTGTCCTGTTGGATCATAATCAGTCGGGTCAATCCAGACTATTTATAATTTACAAAAATCTGTGAAGACGGCCTATGAGCCTCAGCAGGATAGCAAGCGCTGGTGCTGTGAACTGGCTGAGGAATGCACAGAGGTATTAAGATGTTCTGCTTGATGCAAAGCAGAACATTCCTACCATGTAAAAACAGAAAGGCGGACTTTCCACAATAACTCCATAAAGCCCTGAATTCAGCTAGGCAGGTTATAGATGGAAACAAAAACCCTGCTTGGCAAGATTTGAAGTTCTAATTCTCCTAGTTTACCTCAAACAGTAATAACACAGCCTTTTTTGGGCTGATGGAATGTGAAATTGCAAACCACAGCACGTGCACTTTATTACAAACCCCTATCTTGTTCTTCCACTGGCCATTTTATGAGCTACACCTAACTTTTAGGTTCACTATGTTGGTGTGCATTTACAGACTATCAGCTGCCCTCTACCCCAACCATCTTTGGTCTAAGCTACTGGTGTTTTTAAACACCTCAGTGTCACTGCTGGACTGAGAATAGTCTACCAACCAAAAATATCCAGCCAACAGCGTCCTGTGACCACTGATGAAGGACTACAGGATGGGCCAACATGGTAGTAGTGTCTAATAGAGTGGACAGAGAGTGGATATAGTGTTTAAAAACTCCAGCAGCACTGCTGTGCCTGATCCACTCGTACCAGCACAGCACATACTAACACACCACCACCACAGTGTCACTGCAGTGCTGAGCATGATCCACCACCCAAATAGAGTACCTGCTCTGTGGTGGTCCTGAACAGTGAAGTATATGGAGAAAGGTGGCTAGCAAAGTATGCAGAGAAACAGATGGACTGTGGTCAGTGGAGCTGATAACTGGGCAATGGGTGTAGTATACTGTATACGGCTGCTAGTTATATTGACGAGTATTGAGCATCAATTAGAGTATTGATTAAGATTAGAACAGAAACAGCTTTGGATTGTTGGGCCTCAGAGATGTTCAGTCAAAGAAAACCAGAATGTAGAGATGAACCAACAACAAAAACAGTTTAAATCCATATTTTATTGTCAATATTTACAATCATTAATTCTGAAACAGGAATCATAACATTAGGGTAAAAAAAGAAAGGCACAAAGTATGTATGGCAGAACGACACTGTTTCTTAGCATAATATAATACAGCTTTTTTATCTCTCATTATCTAAATATATGTATATTTTTATAAACATCTGCCAGCTTCTTAAAAGAATACAATCTGTTAAGTCTTAAGCAATCTTTCCAAACCTTGATACTTTAAGGCATCAATAGTTCAAATATCACAGTTTCAATTTCAACATTTTTTTCTTCATCACATTCATTTACATGACCTTACTGCATAGGCAAAGGCATTCAAATAGATGCAAGGGACATAAAACACTACACAGTTCATCGCATTTTACATCAAATCACACTTATATATACAGAGCGTCTGTGGCATGTAAAGGCAAACGCCTTGCTAAAAAGTGCATTGTGTCAGTTGATGAATACGGAAACCACTTCAGCAAGCAGTAAGAAATGTCTCCATTTCACATTCTACAAGAAAATGATCAACCCAGGAAACATTCTTAGCAGATAGGGGGCAGAAGAGACTAATAAAGGTGCTCGTACACTGCATATCCAAAAGTTTGTGGACACATGAATTCAGCAGCATTAAGGTGCACTTACTGCTGACAAAGGAGTTCAAATGCACACACAGTTTGTGCAGTCTCCATAGAAAAGCACTGACAATAGAACAGGATGCTGCACATGAGCCCAAGGTCGCTATGTCCACTGTCAAACATAGGCTAGAGGAGTATGAAGCCCCCCACCCCTGAGCTGTGGAGCAGTGGAACTGCATTCTCTGGAGTGATGGATTGCCAACCATTACCTGTGGGATGAGTTGGAGTGATCCAGAACTGATCATCCAACATCAGTACCTGATCTCACTAGTGTTCCCGCTGCTGAATGCAATCAATTCCTCACAGCAATGTTCCAACACTTACTGTAAAGCCTAGAGTAGAGACAGTTACTGCAGCAGAGGGGGAACAAATACCTTTTTAATACTCTTGATTTTGGAAGAAACATTGGTTGAGCAGGTGTCCACAAACTTTTGGCCATGTAGTGTAAGAATGAAGGCAGCTAAAAATGTGTTTCTGACCTGAAATCACACCAATGCATCATATTTGTCTGGATCTATCCTTAGAACATGTTGATTTTCTAAGTGAAAAGAAATGAACACATCTTCTACGGGGAACTTAAATATGACATCTGCAGTAAAGTTTAGTGTCTTTTGTGAGTTAATATAATACATATAAAACATAAAATATAATGCCATATAATATAACGCTATAGCCTTCGAACAGGCCACATTTTATGCTTTATTTTTTCCAGTATGTTAAATTCAGTAAAAAAACAGTAACTGTGCATTAAAAGGTGCAGAAGTGTGTTCTCTGTAGAGGATGTGTAACTTATTTTCACTTAGAAAGTCCACAAAATGTTTTTAGACCAGGGGCACCCAAACTTCTGCATATTGCTGTAATTAGTATATCACTGCTGTCATAAGAAAACCTGCTATGTCTGAAATTATTACTTTATAGGGCAACAGAGAAATGGTTCGTAACTACATTTATTCCAATAATTTCACCATTTCTCTTGGTCCATTTAGATATACGTATATCTTTAAAAATCAACTGAAACTGAAAAAAGAGGTTTTGATAACAGTAATGATACATTTCATTATTCAGTGGGATTTTCTTAGTTTTACTGTGATTTGATGACATTTTTATGATGCATACGATGCTTTTAGGAGAGGGTGTCTGTTATCTGAGGCAGCAAATGCTTCAATAATGAAAGTGAATAAAAGAATAAAAGAATATCTGTAGTTTGAGTTAAATGAATCTGCTTTGTGCAATTTCAAATGTGCAAAACAATCGCAAAGCTGAAGATGCATTTGTTCTATGATCCATTAAATAAATAACAAAACATTCTAATATTGGCACAGTTGATTGACAGGTCAGAATTTGATCTGATATCATTTATCCTCTTCACTTTAGTCCAACATTAAAAGGAATTAACGTTAATTAATTAATTTGTTCATTATTATGGTAAAACATGATAACATGCAGAAAAATTAAATGTTATCGTTATAATTCAAAAAGGCCAATCAATGGACCACCACCACCAGTTATACTGAGTTGCACCTCAGCATCCATACCAGCAGGGGGCTCCATTGCTCTGGACAAACAGGCACACAACAAAAACATTTTCTTATTTTGCAGATCTGTGACCAGTTAGGTCTTTTTTAAACAAGCTTATGGTTAAGATCAGGTGAAAGCAAGCTGCTTAATGATATTCACTCCTCCACTGAAATCTCACTAGGCAGCCAAGTACCACCATTGTCTGTTGACCAAGCTGAACGGACATCAAAATATCATGGAAGGAACCCACACTTATTCTGCCCCCCCTGAAAATCACACACTGTGAGGCCTGTTTCACACAAACTACCTCTGCGGGACATGTGCAATGTGGCAGTGTGACTGCTACAGCTCGCATGTGTTAGCTATACACATGCACAGCATTTTTACTGCAGAACAGTATGCCATGCAAGTTCTACAGACATCCTTTATCCAAATGGATAAAGAATCAAATCTGCTACTTACTTACAAACTAAACAATTTAACAAATCTAATTTTCCTGATTTGTGATTGGGCAGTTGTTTCAGGCCTGTAAACCGACCATAAACTGCAGCCTGAAATACCTAAAATTTCTTTTGTTTGATAACGGCCTTGCAGTGGGGACCCCTCAGGGCCCTTTAGGTCTTCAGAGAAGGCCTAAATGTTTCTGTGAAATAAAAAATACATATCAATAATTTTTAATTTGTTGTTATTTAATAGAATCATCATACTTGTTGCGTTTCAACTCTATAAGCGTTGTAGCAAAACTTTCATCTCATTGTTATGTTTTGGTTGGAAACAAATAGGTTAAGTTCTAGAAAAACCGACCTAAAGTGATCCAATCAGAATTTTTTTCTCTGGTATCTTAGGTAGATACTTCCAAGAAAGCTCTCCTATTGGTTTGGACTTCAGGATCTGAACAGAAGGCCTAATCTGTCACATTAACCAGCAACACTGACAATGGAATCAATCAATCATGTTCCGATTTCCAGTGAGTGGGATCAATTTTATGAGAAAAAACATCACTCTAGAATCGAGACTTACTAGAATTCCTAGATATGTCACTGACTCCGATGAGTTGTAGCCTGACCAGTGGGTTTTAGTCAGTTGTTAAAAACAGAAAACAGCAGCAGCTGCTCTACGCCAGGGCTCTTCATAATGCAGATACTATAAAACGTCTACAAACCAGGTAAAATATATGTCAATGCCTGTTACAAGCGTCAGATAAAACATGGAATGTCAGAGTTTTATCGAAAACAGCCAAAAAATGTGCATATAAATTGCTGTTAGCTCAGCGCTAACATTAAAAATCTCACAGAGAAGTCTTTTTTTCTTGTTTTTGACCATATTTATGGCACAAACTGAAGGCCGAGCTCTAGCAGTCATGGTTCACCACTACAGCCATAAATTATAGAACTGTAGTCCTGTTTTATTTATTTTTGTTTGTTTTGTTTTCAGAATTTATTTCCTTGTATTTTGCTGCAGTTTGCAGATGACAAAAGAAGTGATGCCTATGTTCAGCATTCTGCGCCACTTTTGGGACACGATGTGCAAACTGTGTAAACACCTCAACTTGTTTACATGGCCACCAACACAGAAAGCAACGCCCCACGCCACACAGAGGTAGTATATGCGAAACAGGTCTGACAGTTTGTAGCAATATTAACCAGGAGAAGGCCAGGATGTCACTTCCTCTCATCTGGGGCAGTTAAGGAAGGCAAGAAAACACAGCAGGGTTTTTATGAGATCACTGGAAAAGAGAGAGAGAAGATTAAACATTAGTTGCTGAAGTCATCTGAGTAAAGATGCTGATTGATGGATCAATATTTCCTTTGATTGTCTGATCATTACAAATACAAAACATCAGTATGGAGTGTGGAGCTCATTTCAGACCAGACTGTTCACTCTGAGATACTTTGTGAAACACTCTTACCACTCTGGCATAGTCAGAAGCGAAGGTCACTCCTTTAGCTGCTCGCTCCTGAGAGCCGCTGCTGCTGCCGCTTACTGAATTCTTCCTCATTATACCTGAGAGGGAGCACATGTGCACATGCGTTAGAGAAACCACCATGTTTGTTAAACTCTTTTAAATCCACCACAAGAGGATTTCTGGTGTGTGCACATCTACTTTGGCCACAGTAAAATTTATCAATGAATGGAATCAGAGCTTTCTGTATGCTACCTTGTTTTCCACCACTGTATAAAAGATACACGAGGCTTCCTTTATTGTTGATCGTGCTGTGATATTTTCTGTGCGAGCACATAAGCTCATTCAGAACGTATTTCAGATCAATAAGTGCTTATTATTGATTAGTTGAATAAGAGTTATGATAAAGCACTTCTGATGTGACTTATATTCCAGTATAAGGAATATTTAGGAATATTTATTCCTTATATAGTAATATAAAGGCAGCTTGTTGCAAAAAATAAAAATCTACAACTTTTTGGCTTTGTTAGATCATATTCTTTACATATAAACTCAACAACAGTTTTGAGAATTTACATTAAAATCAACTGCAGTTTTTTGTGTCTGACTTAAAGGGTTAACTTAATTGAAGTCTACATTGGTAACTTTAAGCTATTGCTGGTTCTCTAGACTTGTACGTACTGATCACTTTATCATTTTATCAATACTGCTCATATTGACATTTTACTGTTTTTACTTTCCTTTTACTCATTTACTGTGTTTTACTTTATTTGGTTATTTTTATTATCTAGGTGTGGTCCTCAAAACTGTACTCAGGAGCTCCAGAGGGTCCACATTCTTTCTTGATCCTAACTCTAATTTGTCTAATTTAATCTAATCTAACCACTAACTTAAGTATATTCAGAGCTTCACAGTTGGTTTTCATTTATTTCCCTGTTTATAGCAATTTGGTACTAATCAACTCCATATCTACTGCTCTGATGTTACCATGGTAACAGCTCCCCCTCAGTGGTGGTAAAATCTCATTTACCGCTGGTTCATTTAGTGATTTATTTAATGTAAACCATAGCAAGACATTAGTATTCCAACAAATGAATATAACTGAACTTTTAAATTTGTTGGTTAATGTAAAATTCTACACTAATAGCACATTTAATGTACCCAACACAGACGAGTTCTAAATAAGCTGCTGCTGAACTCACTTGGGGGAAGGCATTGTTCGCCAGTCATGCCTGTACAAAAAGCTGTCTATGTTATGTACATTTTATGACATCCTTTGTTGAAATAAAAAAAAGGTAAGGCAACAGAATGTCCTGGAAAAAGGAACTGCTTTTTACAAATCTTGAACTGGCCCCTGGGTAGTACACTTACTTTTAACTCAAGTTGAAACTCAAATTGGCAAAGATACTCAACGTGTAAAAACACGTCATTTGAAAATCCACTATTCATATTCTATTGATATTCATTAATTCAGTGACTGTTTGAATGATGGATTAATTGAATCCTTCACTAGTTGAGTGTTTGTGGGTATAAGCTACCTGTAGGGGGCAGTATGTCAAGTCTCTGTAGGCTGTTCCTGCGTGAGGAAGAGGGGTATCCACCACTCTTGGAGAGACGGCGCTGGCGGCTGGACAGCATGGCCGCCGGAGACACGATACCTGGAGGAGGCACCTTCCCCATCCGCTCATACAACTCCTCGATCTCTCGCTTCTGAGAGGCCTGTAGAGCCTGCACCTCAGACAGATGCCTTAGAGAGAAAGAAAGAGAGAGAAAATGAGATATTGTGTTTGGCTTGGTCTTAGATTTGAATGAGGGCATTATCATCACTGGGGCGTCCTTCAGATAAATCCATCATCAGGATGAATGAAGCATTACACCACTTCAGAGTTACTCCACTCAGTGCATTCTGATTCAGGACGTATCAGTGTGTGTTTAGCAGAGTTTTGGATTAGAGAATATTAACAGCATGTATAACTCAGTAAATCAAGAGTGTCTGAACTACGGACTGTGTGCCATGAGTTGCCTGGAATATTTTAATGTTAAAAACACATTTTTTTCCAGTTTTAAACGAGTGAAATATATATTTTTTGTGAAAGATGCTTCTAAATGTAGACAGAGTGGAACAATAGGCTTCAACAGTTCATAGCACAAGACAACTTATATACTGCTAATATGCAGTATTCTCCAACAGTGGTTCTACTCTTTCCATCTTACAGTGAGTGCTATTAAAGAACAGAATGTAATCTTACAACTCACCTAGAACTATTTTATCACTCCACTTATCATTTCAGTGCTGTGGTTAGTGATGTGTTTCTCAACATTAGCCTACTGCTTTCCTCTTTCCTCCTTCTCAGGTGAAGAACACAGGTAATCAAGCTAATGTCCAAACACTTTTTTCAGTGAACATGTTAAAATGCTCATTCATGATTCACACAATAACCAGAAGACACAATGTTATTGAACTGTTTTTGTTTGCAGGTGTAACCTGTCCCTGAAACTGAATACAGTTCAATGCAAAACTCTGAACCAGTGCGAGGAACGAAAATGAATGCGACTGGTATTAAGGGTACAGAAAATGTAACAATCCTTAATGAATCTGGAACAGAAACGTTAATTTGAACGTCCCTGTCAACGTAACTGCCTGGTCCAATAACTTTGCAAACCTATTATTTTATTCTATCAAGCCCATATACAATATATGTCAATATGACTGAGCATTTTTCATTTAGTTCTAACCACTTTAGGAATGTTACGTTGGTATTGTAACACAAGAGTGCTTATATCTGGGACTACAGTATGTATGTTCTGGGGATTTGGAGACCTCTCTGGTGGAAATGTGTTACTGCATGCAGAAGAGCATAAAGGAATGTGGGTTGTGCTTCTGACCCCTTCCTTGAGTGGATGAATCTGATGATTGCTAGCGTGTTCAAAGAAAACGAAGTGAATTATCCAATATTTTTATCATATCTTCATTTTTAAAATATTGATTTGGTATATGACACCTAAACATTGAGCTGGACCTTCTTTTTGACGCTGTATATTTGACGTTAATATGTAAAGATGTATGACACACCTATGACTTTTTTGGTTACATGCCAAAAATGTAATATTACAATACTTCAGGAACTTTTCGCAATAAGCGATGTGTCTTGGTACTTATTTCTTCTGACATCTGATTTGAAAAGACAAAATAATGCCCTGTTTAACCCTTGTGTGGTGTTTGGGTCTGTGGGACCCATTTTCAATATTTAATGAAAGAAAAAATGATGCGATTTATTATTGTTTCAACCTCAGATTCCTTGGCCTTTGCTCATTTTCTGTGAAGAACATATAAAATACAAAGATTTGTATTCAACATAATTTGCTTTACTTCATTCTCTTTGTACTTAGCATGCTGTAAGGAAGTTAAAATGAAAGCTGAACCCAGTGTCTGTGCGTGAGTGGGTGTGTGCTTTATACTTGTGCTTGTGTTTATACGTGACTATGTATGTATGTGTTCGTGTAGTGTGAAAAGACTGCACAGACTGGCTGCTAATGTGTATATATATATATATATATATATATATATATATATATATATATATATATATACATATATGTGTGTGTGTGTGTGTGTGTGTGTGTGTTTGGTGTGTTTGTGTGGATGTGCATGCGTGTGTTTGCATAGCCCTGTGTTTGAGCAGGATGTCGACTGGACTTTTGTCAGTTTTTTTTTTAAAGCTCTTTTTAATTTTTAAAAGAATTTAATGACAAAATTATGTTCTGTTGGTTACTGACATCTGACTAGGTTTAGGATTAGGCTAAGAAAATTCTTAATACATAATTACATATAGATACTTAATATATCTACACTGATATCAGTATCAGCCTAGAAAAACACACATATATGTGTGTGTGTGTGTGTGTGTGTGTGTGAGTGTACGCGTGTTTCTAGACTGATACCAATATCAATTATAAGTAGACAAGGAGACCCTTAATCGGTATATACACATTTGCTTTAAATTTGAAGTTCCTACACAAAATGAACATGAAGTGAATATTTAATCAAATAATAACTTCAAACTTTTGAACAATATAAAAAGAAATGTGCCATAACGTCTGCACAGGTGATACATTATGTCTTTTTTTCAGTACATTAAATTCAGCAAATAAACAGTACACAAGTGTGTTCTCTGTAGGGGATGTGTTGACTCATTTTCACTTAGAAAATCAACAAAACGTCATTTGACTAGGGGCGCCTAACCTCAGATTCCTTGGCCTTTGCTCATTTTCTGTGAAGAACATATAAAATACCACATTTTCAGTGTCTTCACACTGTTCACCCCCCACACATTTATACTACACATGTAGAGTTGGGGTGAACCCGCAGGGAGTAAAAGTGTAGAGGTGCTGTGTTAGTGTGTGTGGGTCTGTGTGTGCATGTGTTTGTATATGTGTGCGTGTGTGTGAGGGTGGTGACACGCTGCTGAGTGGCCACAGCTGCTAAAGGAGAACCCTACGCTGGCCACTTGTGATATTTTAAACATCTGGTATTTTTACCACTGAGTAACAAACACATCAACAGCACATAAAGGTTAAAAATACTATCAAAAATCATGAATACAAGGATTTGTATTCAACATAATTTGCTTTACTTCATTCTCTTTGTACTAAAACATGCAGTTGGGAAGTTTTCATAAGTACTGACGATATCCACGGTATACTCAGAAAAGCACATTGTGACATATTGTGATGTCATTAATCATGATAATAGATTAATACCAGCCCTACTCTGACTTTTAAATGACTATTTCATGGTTTACAGGGCAACATACTGCAACGCACAGACACCATTTTTAGCATGTCTTTTTGTCTTGACTCCTCTTTCTATGTTAACAAACAAATCTTACATAGTGCAGCTTTAATCAACTAATCAATTATTACAGATAACATGCACCTCTACTTTTTGTAGATACCTGCAGTAACAGTTATAAAAGTGAAACTACGAAGATATTGTTCTGGAAATTACAGCTTTCGCCAATGATTATGTGATTGAGCTGTGAAAATGCATTCTGTTGCCTCTGTAGGCTCTTTTGCTGAGTTCAGTATTGAAACTCACCTGTCTCGCAGCTCCTGAAGCTCCTCCCACATGTCCTCGTCCTCGCTCTCTGTCTCATCACTGCTGGCGTACGAGGTGCTGCGCATGTAACTCATCCACGGCTGGTTCACATTTCCGATCTGAGGGCCCCCAGTCAAACCATCCCACAAACTCAGGCTTATCCTCCTTTGCCTCGTCTCTCCTTCTGTGGTCTCCTCTTCACCTCCCCCGTCCTCCTCTGCCTCCGCCTCTGCTCCTTTGCTCTCCATGCTCCCAGTGGGCGAGCAGGGGGTGCCGCTGCTGGAGTCATTTAACTGCTCGGAAGGTGGTTTGTTAGGTGGAGACACAGTGACCGTGTTAAGACTGGTTTCTGATTCGCCCTCCTCCTCCTCAGTACTGCCCTCTGATTGGCTGTTGTTGGAGGGGGTTTTGTCTGGTGGAGGTGTTGGGGGACGGGGCTGCGGAGGTGTAGGTGTGTCGATCTCGACGCTGGGAGTGACCTGGAAACGTCCCACTGTGATGGCAGGTTTTTTCTCTGAAAGCAGAACAATGGATTTATAAAAATGTATAAATATATATATATATATATATATACTATAATATATATTATATATAATATAATATATATATATATAATAGTTGGATTTATATAATTATGTATATATATATATATATATATATATATATATATATATATTATAGTTGTTTTGCTATACATTTAATATACAATACATATACAAATTACACAGGTGCACCATAAAAATTGGACCTGAGCCAAAGTTGATTTGTAGTGTTTTTGAGATTGAATTGATGTAATAATGTAAAAACTAAAATTTTATTTTGAATTGTTTCATTTAGAATATGTATATGAGTTGGATAAAGGCAGTAAAATTACTTTCTACTACATGTTTATACATTTTTACTGAGTAATTATACAACAAACTACATATTCTTTTTACATTCTCTATCAATAGTCTGCACTTTTAACTTTTTATTGCTTCTTCTGATGTCAATAAATCACAAAAACATGGCAAAAATGTAAAGAATTTCTTTTGGCAAAACAAGACACACCCAGCAATAACATGCACAAAGGCAGTATCAATAAAAAGTGTGGAAGCTGCACTGTGCTTGCTTTAAGGAGCTATGTGAGAGATATCATTTATATAAAAAGTATTACACCATGCTTTTGTTATTGCGGGTACGAATTATATCTTCTGAAGGTTGTGTGCTTTCTCTTGCTAAAAACACGATTACTTCGAATAAAATCTTGTTACATTAAAGTACATTAAGTTACTATGGAAGTGACCTTAAAGATTGCTTAAGTATATTTGTGCATGTCTCACCCTAAATAAATGAACTAAAAAGGACACCCCTTTAATGGAGAGTAATCCTAATATGGTGCCCACTAGACTAATGCTGCATTTGAGTGGTGTCTGAAACTGGAAAATACCAATTTTCCCACTTGTAATTTGCACTCAGAACAATCAACAAAGTTGTATTTAAACGATATATGAATTTATGGGATGAGATATAACACAAGCTTTCACTTTTTCTGCTGCTGGAAAATGACAAACTTGACAGACAGACTAAACAGTCAGACAGACTATACCTGGTGAGTTTCTACATGATTTTTGTGCTTTTTAATATAACAAAGAAAAAGCAAGACACATTTCTCCAAACCTTCTTGATTTCTTTTTGCTTGTGTGTATCTTCCAAGAAGCACCTAAACATAATGAAGTAGTATTTTCTAGTTAACCATCTGGCCTGCAGCATTAGTCTGTGTTCTTAAACTCAACAAAAAGGGTAAATAACAATCTGCAGTTCTGTTTTCTACCTCTAGGTGGAAGTCTTACATCATCTCTGTGGAAAGAAACTGTCCTTGCTGCATGTGTGACTGTTTTTGTTTTTAAATGACTTATTTTTTAAATTATATTCACACATAGTCCTGTGTAAAAGTATTAAGCATTTGAGAAAATACCTAAAGCCGTTTATTTGAAAAAACAAAAACAAACAAAAACCCACAGACATTAGAATTAATGCAAATAGAAAAATAAACTATACATTACTTTCAGTATTTACAGTTACCATCTAATACCAAGCTTATTTAATTAATCCTTCATTAAATTAAATCAGGTGTGGTCCTGATGGAATTTAACAAATCCATCAGTCAGGAACTGTATTCATGTTTATTTGTATTTATTATAATGGTACGTAGTGTTTTACTTCCAGAATTAATAGTTTTAAACAGTTTTCATAGCTACCTAAGATTTTCGCACACAGTCTTGTATATAAACTCAAAGCTCGTGTCATCTTACACTGCCCAGTTTAATATTGTTAGACATTAATGAATATATTATGAACTGGTGAAGAGATTAAAAGCTTCTATTTGGGAGATTAATTGTTTTTCTTGTGACAGTGTTATCAGGGCTGGTTATCTACCAGCGCCAGAAGGGACTGTGGGGTATAATAATAAACCAAGGCCCATGCTAAAGCAAACAGCAGGTAGAGCAGGTACATGCTGTAAGGAAGTTAAAATGAAAGCTGAACCCAGCGCATGAGTGGGTGTGTGCTTTATACTTGTGCTTGTGTTTATACGTGACTATGTATGTATGTGTTCGTGTAGTGTGAAAAGACTGCACAGACTGGCTGCTAATGTATATATACATATATATATATATATATATATATATATATGTGTGTGTGTGTGTGTGTGTGTGTGTGTTTGGTGTGTTTGTGTGGATGTGCATGCGCATGTTTGCATAGCCCTGTGTTTGAGCAGGATGTCGACTGGTGTTTGTTTTCGTTCATTTTCAGGGCAAAAATGACTTTTGTCAGTTTTTTTTTTAAGGCTCTTTTTAATTTTTTTTAAAAGAATTTAATGACAAAATTATGTTCTGTTGGTTACTGACATCTGACTAGGTTTAGGATTAGGCTAAGAAAATTCTTAATATATAATTACATATAGATACTTAATATATCTACACTGATATCAGTATCAGCCTAGAAAAACGTGTGTGTGTGCGTGTTTCTAGACTGATACCAATATCAATTATAAGTAGACAAGGAGACCCTTAATCGGTATATACACATTTGCTGTCAATTTGAAGTTCCTACACAAAATGAACATGAAGTGAATATTTAATGAAACAATAACTTCAAACTTTTGAACAATATAAAAAGAAATGTGCCATAACGTCTGCACAGGTGATACATAATGTCTTTTTTTCAATACGTTAAATTCAGCAAATAAACAGTACACAAGTGTGCTCTCTGTAGGGGATGTGTTGACTTATTTTCACTTAGAAAATCAACAAAACGTCATTTGACTAGGGGTGCCTAAACTTTCGCATACGACTATGTGTTACAGAGTGAGTGAGTCTTCATGTCTCTCACAAATGAGGAGGCACCAAAAAAGAGAGTTTGATTGATTTCACTTGAGCTGTGGTGCGCTGATGTATATATTATGTACTTAATTATGTTGAAAATTCATATGGATCATATTACTATTATATATATATATATATATATATATATATATATATATATATACACACATATGGGACAGGTCTTACCTTCAGTTATAGGGGACAGTCTGGCTTTAGCTGCGCTGGTAGCAGCCTCAGACACACTCAGAGTGGATGATGTTCTGAGGCTGGCTGCAGACACCTGAGTGAGGTGGGGTAGAGAACACACACACACAAAGAGGCTGTAACAACAGCACATGCTTCAGAAGCAGAAATAACAGACAACACCTGTACTCTGCTCTTAACAGCTGAGATCATGTGTGCTGGGGTGTGACTGAGTCATCATATGTACAGAACAGGTTTGAGGATGTGCCTGCATCGGTATGTCCTTTTCTGTACTATTTATACTCCGCTAAACACAGGTTTGGGCCAAGAAGCATGAAAGGGTAAAGGTTAGGCTCAGTCCTTGGGGTTTGAATGTGCCTGCATGTGTTGCAATGTAAAGCAGATGTTGCCAATCCAGCCCTCAATCCATACTTTTGTTCTGTGATAGATTCCACTATGCCTCACTATGGTTACAATTTGTTAGAAACTGGAAGTCATGTCAAGATGGCTTCCAGTTTCTATGGGTCAGTGTAATACACGTCATTGTGGCTGCAATCTGTTAGAGACTGGAAGGGAACGAAAACTACCAAAGTGCTACCTTTCTAGGGCTAATTTAGGGCTTTAGCTAATGATTTTTCCTGTAATTTATTCATCTATTAATCTGAATTATTATTCAAGTAAGTGAACCGTTGTGACTTCTTCTGTTTCCCCTCTCTTTACCCAAGGCAGTGCCAGCATTTAAAATTCTGTCTTGACAACAATTATATCTTTGTGCAACGGAATAACACAAGCCATGTCGCCCCCTACACTTCCTCTATTGTATTGCAATCTGTCACATTGACCATGTCAATAATGTGAACATTACAGAGCATTATAAAGAGTCTTTGTTCTACAGTAAACAATGCATCAACTTTTGTCTAGAATCACTCACAGATAATCAATTTTGCATAGATTAAGCATAGAATTATGCACAGAATGGTGCTAAATGCACAGATGTAGTAATGCCCCAGATATGACATGATCAGGACTACAATTGTTGATAATGATACTGGAAAGAGAGAAAGTACATATAAAAAGCAGCATCCACAAGTGCTCAGTTGAAAGCTTTCTGAGAGCTGCTATTTGTATTCTCTTCGACATGGGCTGTTGTGTATATATGTGTGTACAAGCTCTACAGCACTCACTGTATTCTGTGGGCTGGCAGAAGTGGAGGACTCAGGAGAGCTGCTGGTGGAGCTGAAGGGTAAAGAGCTTTCTGTTTGTTGTTGATGTTTCTCTTTGGGTCCTGCACGGACCTCCAATTGGGGGCTTGTCCGGGATCCTGCAGCTGGGTTTGAACTGCTCGGGACAGGCTGTTTGACCTCTGTGGGTAGCCCTATGACCACTGCAGCACTAGGCGGCATGCTTGCTTGTATTGCACCAGATGAGCTCACATTCCCAGCTCGACCTTGATTATCCTCATGTGGATCCAGCCTGGGGGCTGGAACTTGTGCGTTACTCTCACGATGCTGGTACGTATCCACAAAGTGCCCTGCTAGAGGCACTCCCTGGCTATAAGGAGCCTCCTTTTGCCCCATGGCTGGATGCTGGGTGCCAAACATGGGTGCATAGCCTGGCTGGGGTGCCATGGTGGGCAGGTAGCCCTGGGGCAGATTGCTGGGCATGGAAGTGGGGGGCATGAAGGACTGCGCCACACTCATGGCCAGTGACAGCACATTGGCCAGGGACAAGAGCGGCTGCTGAGCTGGCCATATGCCTGCGTTTGGAGGCACAGTGTGGGCAGCAGGAGACGTCAGAGGACCACTGTCAGTTGGAGCCATGTCACCTGCTTGCTGGGCTGGAGGAGTAGGAGAGGGATAAGGGGCAAGGTTGGAGCTGCTGGGGTTTCGAGTGAGTGGAGGAGTGCTGATTGAGCCTTTAAGGGGTGCTGTATTGACAAGATACGGGTAGGGGTAGGGGGAGTTTGGTATGTATGGTGGGTTAGGGAACTGAGGGGGCATGGCAGGTAACTGGTTAGGAAGCAGAACAGGCAGAGCGTCTGGATTGGGGTATTGTGGATATTGAGAGGCAGGTGGACGGTAGGGCGGCGAGGAGCCTAAAACAGAAACAGAGAGATTGGAATAAATTTGTGGACTATAGTACTAGGTGATGCATGGATAATTTGCCAAACATATGTCTGGAATTGTGGGATAGGTTTTCTGCACATACACTGTATGTAAAAAAGTATCCATACACCACTTTGTGTAATCTCCATAGAAAAGTACTACTAAAAGACTGTAACTCTCTCAAGTGGTCGCACATAAGCCTAAGGCCACCATGCTCAATGCCAAACATCAGCTAGAGGGGTAAAAAGACCCCCAGCACTGGGCTGTGGAGCAGTGGAATTACATTCTCTGGAATGATCAAGCACCATTGAATGCATTTGGGATGAGCTGTAGTGCCATCTGTGATCCAGAACTAATGATCCAACATCAGTACCTGACCTCACTAATGCTCTTTTGGCTGAATGCAGATAAATCATCACAGCAATGTTCCAACATCTATTGTAAAGCCTTCTCAGAAGAGTAGTGGTGGTTACTACAGAAGGGACAAGCCCCATAGCAATACTTGTGATTTCATAAGAAATGTTGGATGAGAAGGTGTCTATAAACTTCTGGACATACAGTGCACATCTGAAAAGGATTTCCATAATATTTATGACAGATTAATGCAGGATAAGAGATCTCTGTATAAATTACAGCAATGAAAGCGTCAATTCAATGTAAGCAAAATCGTACAAAAAAAGTTCCACGCATAATACCTTCCGCTGTCAAAAGTAGACAATGTGTCCTAATCTTTATCATAATTTCTCTTAGCCTAACCATCTATCTATCTAGCTGTCTTGAGTGAATGCAGTGTGTCATTAGCATTGTCAGGAGCTATATAGCCAACCAACAACTTTGAGAAAGAGGGAATTTTTCCCTGCCGTATGTTTTCTAAGGTTCACTATTGTACACTTGAGACAGGTCAATGCTTATAGGCTTAATCTGGCAAACATCAACATAACAATTTGCAAAGAATTGTTACAGATGCAAAAACACACAACCCATAAACGCCAATGACAGACTGAGCTGGGGCAAAAATCACTGAGAAAGTCTGCATACATGTTTTTGTCCAGATATACTATATTAAAAAAGGTTATTGGGCCTCCAGAATAGTGAAAGCTGTTAAGAGAGGGACATCTGGACAGCAGTAGGGAGAGGTAAATAATGAATGGGAACTGTCCATGTAAAAGTGAAAAGTATAAAGCTTAAAAAAGGACATGTTTTAAATATGCATGGAATAGCGGCAAAACATGCAGATGTAGTAATATGCCCCAGGTCTGAATGACAGTACTCAAAGGAGAAACAAAAACCTCCTATCACAAAAAAAAAAAACAACAGAAAACAGTATTCATAATTTTGTAATGTATGCCTCAAGGCTCATAAATGGACTGGGACTATGCAGCATACGTAAACAACTGAACAGAATATTTTGCACCAGTGTTTATCATCTCACTGAAGTGCGTAACCCCAGATGAGTTTTTGCTCATGCTTTTCTGACTGAGACTCTGTGTTACATGATGCAGTCATTTATATGTTGTATTACATAAAATATATTTATTATATGTCTGAAATTGCAGCACAAAGTATAATTATCTGTGAACAGTAGTGAACAAAAAAACAATAACGTGCACCGTATTTTACAGAATATAGTCATTTGAATCTTGTGACACTTTCAAGTACAGCTTGAAATCTGGACAAATTCTAAGTACGTACACGAAAGAGCGGAAAAGGCAGTTTGCCTTTTATTAAACTGAGACAGACCCGATCAGGGTGATTTAACGACCATGTTACAGTTAAAGAGCAGGAAGTCTCAATGTGTGCTTCTGCTGAGAGCTCTGTCACACATTCTGAAGTGGCCTTAAGCCTGAGGGGGGTGGAGACAGATCCGGTGTGTGCCTGTTCTTTATTCTGTGAACAGTGTATGCCACAAATAGGCGTTTCAAAGGCAGAGCAAACTGTGCACAACCACCTTTTGTTTATTTCATTTACAGTCAAAACAGCCATTCAGTACAAGTTATTCATATTTCAGGAGATATTTCTGAGGAGATTAGATTTAAGGTAATTCACTTGCATAAGTAAACGGAAGGTTAAGGAAAAATAAGTGAAAAAATGTAAGATTCCAAAACTGGAGATCAAAAATTATTAAAATATACAACCGTGGAAGACCTGGTAGACCACTAAAACTGTCAACATGAGATAAACAGTACTTAAAGCTTTCATCTTTGAGAGAGAGGAGAAACTCAAGCTCCACTCTTTCTTTAGATACTTCCACCATGAGAAGAACTCAACACTACAGGTCTGAAAGTATGTGAAGCTGTCAATAAGCCGTTACTGAGCAAAGAAAAAATATTATATTTTAGTTGTTAAGGTTTCTATGTAATTTTTAAAAATATGTTTCCCATTTTTTCCTGATGCTGAAAAATGAAGAACTTGTACTTAATGGCCATTTTGACTGGAAATGAAATAACTGATTTTTACACAGTACTGTATTTTCCTTTTACACACTACTGTTGAAAGCACATACTGAAAGTCTTGAAAAGTTGATTTAAATGCCTGAGAGTTTTGAGTGCAGAAATCACAATAAAGGGATAAAATGTGTGGGCTATGGCATTATTCCCAAGGCAGGAGTTTTGTCAGCTGTTCCTTAAGTTTAGCAGTTTTGTGCAAATAAAATGAAATGATCTAAACAGGTTTCTATTTAATGTGTGAAGTTATTCCAAACTGAATAGCCAAACTTTTGACAGGCAGCATCCAGTTATGTACCAATAAAAAGAAAAAAGCACACAAATACACAGACTGCAGAAGGAAGCAACATTTCTAGCGCTGTTCATTTGCTTTTTTGGAAACTGAAAAAGGCCTGTTCTCTCATCAGCAATGCCACGTCTCCCAGCATGCATCTGTATGTTTGTGTTCTCTGCGCTAATCAAATCAACAGATTCCACTTCAAACCTCCAGGTGTCAAACACATCACAACCCAACCAGCGTCACTATCGCCAGGCTTCAGCACTGGCGTCAAACTGTGGTCTCCATGGAGACGGAGAATGTTTTGATCAGCCTATCTCTGCGCTTTTGGGCAGGGGGGGCGAGAGGGGGCTGAGATTGGAGCCTGGGGGCTAATTCACATAGAAGGAGAAAATAGATTAATGCTAGAATACTGCTCAATAAGAATCAGTTTCAGTGCTACTGTCCGTCAAATGACCAAGTGATTTATTCACACTGCTTCAGAGGCCATTGTGGACATGAAAAGAGAGAGAGAGAGAGAGAGAGAGAGAGATACACCTCTGAACCTACAAGCCCTAAAGAAAGACACAATAGATGGATGGACAGATGGATGGATGGATAGATAGATGGATACATTTTATTGCCTATTTCTGGAAAATCACTAATATTAGATTATCTACAATTAACATTAATGCAATAAGTAGCGATTTACAAAAGTCAGCGTGTTCATTAAACCATTTCCAAACCTCGCTTCATGGTAGCCCAGTATTACGTGTCGTTATCATCCAACACTTAATTATTGTGTCATTATTTTAAATCTAGTGTGTTGATGGTGGAATTTCACAAACCCACGCAATGGCTGGAGGCATCCAGAACACATCTGGAGTCAAACTTTGTCACAAGAAAAAGTCTTTGTCACAACAAATTACTTTTTTGAAAATTAGAAATTTAAAAAATAAAAAGTATTTAGGTTTATTTGCAACTGTTTGCAAACATATACAGTGTAAAACACACTTATTGCCAAGATAAGTGGCTTTAAACAAAGACTTTTACATAGTGCTGTGTATTGTTGCTGTGGGGACAAAACCTTGTATCTTTATTATTGTTTATCAATTTTCATTTTCTGACATAATCATCAGCTGCCTGTTATATACTGTCAAAATTTCCTGATAAATGATGACTGCCAAAGTAGCTCACATTCCCCTCCTGTCCATATGTTTTGTCCTCTAGTTCTGTTTTGGTTGTTTTTCCAACTCCAGTGCTACCACACATTTACTGAACCAACTAATGATTTCCCTGCTGACCTATTCAGAATTTGCTTGTCATACAGCACCACAGATTTAAACGGTATGAGCCCAGGGTGCCCTGCAGTCCCTCCTACAGAGGAGATTCACAGCTGCCTGTGTGCTTTCCCCCTAAATCTTCACTGCCGTGCTGACAATTCTATATGAGTCTGTCCTGTCCTTTACCCCAGTAACAGAAGAGTTCCCTGTGTAGTGAACTAGTGTAACAGAGAGAGCTACAGTAAGAGGATCAGACCTTTTACACATCAGTAAATGAAGCACTTGGATGCCTGCGCCAAACCTCAGTTCATTCTGTTCTCATCACAGAAACAACAGGCAAGCCAACCGCCAGCAGCTTAGCCTTGCTGCTAATTTACCTACCATTTTACTGCAGATTATATGTGCACAGCAGGTGCACTCAAAGGGCTCAAAAAATCTGCTTTGCAACTCCAGCTCAGCAGCAGTAAAAGGCACTAGTGAAAAGAGTTCTTTGAAGTTACCATGTCTGTGACTGCATGGAAAAAAATCTAACTGAACTTTTGCTGGTATTTTTTTAATTGAGTGCACAGTGTGGTGCTGGTGAAAACAGGTCTTAGACTGTGAAGCATTTGTGTGGCACTCTTTAAGTAATCATAAAAAGCTTAGAATAAAGAATTCAAATTTGCATAATGTAGTATATGAAGTAATCAGTAAACAAATGAATGGTCAGAGACTAGTCAGAGAAGAAAACAACTTATGAGTTGAGGAGTGGCTGGACAGCCAGCCAGACAGACAGATAGACAGACCAATGGATGGCTGGACTGAGCCATGGATTGGTGAATAGGTGGTAGGGGTGAATGATTACAATTTGATATTGTTATATCAGGTTACGCTGCCGTCAGCTTCTCTGAGTACATCATGAGTGTCATCAGTCTTTCCAGAACACCTCAAGACCACAACTGCATTTCATTAAAAAGAAGTGAAGAGGAGGCTCTCAAGCTGACGTAACTGTCTAAAGGCTTTTGCTTTATTATTGGGAAATCATTTGAGTCTGGTGCCTTTAGTTCAAGACAGCATAATTGGTCCTGCTTAGTTGGACGTAGTACTGGTGTCAAAGCTGACACATCAATAACATGTTAACACAACTGACTGAGTAACACCTCTTATTTTTTATTACCATTAATGCATTTTCCTAGTTTGACTCCTTTGAATCATCCATGACTGTAGTCCTCATTCAAATATAGCTTCTAAATGGTAAGAAATTCCACTTATAACAACCCATATTAATTCCAGCTACTGCAATGCTGTGAATTTATTATTAAAGTATGAATCTGACGTATCATTCATAAACAAAACACAACACTAATGCAGGACTATGCTGGACAAAAAGCAGCAAACAACCAGAAGCAACAGCAAAGTGAAAAGCTCTACTTCCCCTCAAAACAAGACGTAATGTAGTGGAATGATAGCAAGAGGGCTACAATAGCTAATCCACTGTTGCTTTCACTGGACACCTGTGATAGAAATGGAAAACTGTGTCTTCACTATGGAAATGTGAATTCTGCATTCACAATTAGAATAATGTCATTCAATTATTGAAAGTAAAAAAATGCACTGCAATAAAGATTATTTTATCTACTCACATAATTCTAACAAAATTCACTACTTTTTCAATGAAAAGAATCTCTTTTTAGGGTCACATTTGAGCAAATAAGACAAATGTGATTAATTGTGATTAATCATTTTAACTGTTTGACAGCCCCAGAATGTACTGAAGTGCAGTATGTGAAAGTCGAAAAAAAATGTACTCATAGTTTTGATAGCATGTTTTACATGCACTGCTGGTGCTTTGTATATTGTTAAACCTCAGAAAAAACTAAATATCATGACGTACAGTGTATTGTAAAAATATCTTATTAAATATTAAATCAAGTATGATGATAGATTTTGCCACATTTTCCACAACGACTAGGTGGGTGGATGCATAATTGAGGGTACCTGAGGTGTGGAAGGACTGAGAGCGAAGTGGGCGGACGGGTGGTCCTGCATCAGGGTCGAGGTAGAGGTCTCCCCCCAACGCAGGAGAGGAGCCACGGGGCACCTGTCCTGAATTTGCTGCTGTGTAATCTGAACAAAACAAGACATACCTTTGATTAATATCAACATTAATTAATATCAATGAACACCAAGAAAAACACATAAAGCTTACTTATATTTTCATTAGGGAGTCATCTCCCAGGGTCAGATGTAACCAACAAGTACCAATAAGTTGTTCTCAGGCGTGCATTCTCATAACAAGGTCACGTCTGGCCCCGTGGATAAATTGCAGGCAAGAGAATCTGAGGTACCTGAGGTGTGGAAAGACTGTGAGCGGAGTGGACGCACTGGAACAGCTGCATCAGGATCAAGGTAATAGTCTCCGCTCACTCCAGGAGAGGAGCCCTGGGTCACCTGACCCACACTGGCTGCGGTGTAATCTGCAGGGTGAAACATGCATGCATGCACAGACTATCAATGCTGATGTACTGGTCATTAATGAAGACTAGCAAAAAAGTGCGCACTTGAGATATTTTAAAAAAGACTTTACCACAGATATAAAGGTATAAAGTCTGTGTATTTCATACACATAACAGAGTGAGAGTTACCTGGTAGGGATGAGGAGGAGTGTGTGCGTGACAGTCCCTGTGTGTGCAGGTTGGGCTGTAAAATAAAGCAGACATCATATTGCTTCTGTTTCCTGAAACACCACATATTTTAAATCAGCTAGTAGGGCCTGTATTCTACATTTTTCTTGCATTTTATTTTTCCTCAGAAATTGACTTAAATAATTTGTGTCATAATTCATTCGTAGCCATTTCCAACCTTTCAGTCACTTGAAACAAACTACTGAAGACTGAAATATGTAACTGATCTCCCTCCAGATTTGCCCAGTATTGCTCCTCATTCAAAAAGCAGTCTGAATCTTAAACAGAACAAATTAAAGAGCCTCAGGACTGACATTTTTAGACAAAAATTGACTTCAGTCACTCCTTTCAGACACTTTGGGAGGCTGCGGTGACACATTTTCTTCCTGACAGTCAGGAACCAGACAACATTTAAGCATTTTTCCCACAATTTCATTCCAGTAACTCCACTATGGACTGTCTGCAGTAACAACACTTCTTATCACTTCAAAGTGAATGAGCAGCTAAACTGCTGTGGGCTGACTGGGCGATCAGATACAAAAGTGGACATGGTTGTGACATCACAAGCACTATTTAAAAACAGCTATTTTTGCAGCTTAGTTTTCATAATACTGACAGTATGGACTGTGGAGTGAAATGTACCTATGGAAAGATTAACAATGTTTATATCAGGGGTTTCCAATCTTACCCACAAAGGGCCGGTGTGGCTTCAGGTTTTCATTCCAACAAAACAGGAGCTCACATGATCAGTTGTTTGAAGACTGACCATTTGATCAAACAAGTAGAATCAGGTGAGCATCTGCTTGTTTGGAATGAAAACCTACAGCCACGCCGGTCCTGCAAATTGGACTAGACACCCCATTGTAACAACTACAATGTGAGCACAAATCAGTTTCAATTTGTCTGTGAAAGTGTGCCTTTTCATGATGTAAGGGTGATGAAAGTAGCATCAATGTGCCTTAACATCCACAAACTCTTTATTTTACTTTAACGATTTCTGTCTAAGAGCCCTAACCTCAAGCATGGAAGAACCTATTCCATCTTAATTGCATTCAGGATACTATTTAGAGTAATTAATAAGGCAGGATTCTCATTTCCTTGGCAAAGTGAAAGGTTGGTAGATGAAAGGATAGTATGTCCGACTATGACTCAGTGCAGTACTGGGGTCATAAAGGTCAGAGCAATATATAGGGTCATGAAAATTCTATTTTGAACACAACACTGACTGCACCCAGAGTGCTTGCACAGCCCCCTAAAGGACTTTATACAATAGTGTTTTTGTACTGCTGTGAGTTGAAATGCATTTTCTCATTAATGGTTATTTATAAACTACACTAAATCATGAGAAAATAAGATGTTAGAGAAATGTTTTGTTTTATCATTTGTGTACATGTTGTTTGTACCTTTTTACCACATACTTCAACAAAAACAGCATCATGTGAAAGCAATTACAGTGTAACAGTCCAGCACAGTGCTTGCTTTCATCTTAACTTAATCTGAATGCACCAGTTTTCCCATTAGGGTGAAAACCATGATACTAAAGGTAAACCTTTCAGACAAACAACCCGAGCAAATCACTGGTATCACAAGATGATCCTATCTTCAATGCCATTTTTATTACACACATTAAAAGCTGACTATGCTGCCTTTCAACCTTTTAGGACTGACATTATCTGTCGTAGCATTCTTGGTCAACTAAGAATCTGTTTTGATGAAAGTGTGCTTGACTTACAGAACTGGACGCGAACTGGATTTTCACCTTTACAGGTGAACAAGCAAGTCAGCCTTTTATAGAAGAGTTGTGTTAAAATGCTTTTTTGTTATGAAGAAAGCTGAAGTTGTTCTGTTCGTTTTATCTCGGTGTGGCCTTCTTTGTGGAGAGGTGTGAGCAGCTGTTACAGGAGGGTTTCTCTCCCCTGCCCTTTCACCCACATTGCTCCCTAGCAGCTCAACACAGAGACATAACATTTCTCACACAGAGAGCCAACAGAGTCTTAGTTGAGTTGATTTCTATGCTGCCGGCGAAATGGCCACTAGGGGGCCTGCAGAAAGAGGTTACTTTTATAAGCCAATCCTGTGAATCATGTATTTACATACAATAAAACTGTTGATATTTCTGTAGATGGACCTTTTAGCTAGAGAGGCTCTGTGTAAGTTAAAGTATTGCTCTATATATATCTCAATAATATTAAAACAATATGGTTGCAGACAAGTGTTTAAAATTATTCTAATATGCTAGTTCTACACGTCACAAGAAGCTGTAAATAAAAATTAGACCTTTTAGAAGTGTCCAAAATAATATAAAAGATTGTAAAATGACTGAGAAAGCTGGATAGCAATCAGAATTAATTATAAAACTAATATTCAACATACTTTATGGAGATGGAGTGGAGATCAAATTCCAAGGCAGATAACTTGATAAAAAACTTAATGTATATAATTGCAGTATATCATTTATCATCTAATAACTTCTTGTCCACATAATTATTGAACCGAATAAGACATTTAAAATGCCTTTGGACGAACAGTTTGTAATATATAAATCCACAGTGTACAAATTATCCCAAAAAAGGCTAAGGGCAAGTGATTTCAAATTTTTGAGGAGTACCATATTTAACAAAATTCAATCTTCCATTTAAGGGGATAATTTGTTATTTTCTTGATACTATATTCTTGATTTAGTAGGCTTTTTCAGTAGGAGATGCATGTAAGAGGTGTGATTAGTTCACTTTAAGTTGAAAATCAGGCATTTTAATTGACAAGGGGTGTGATTAGTTGACTTAGTTCGCAAGTGTATCTTACTTGGGAGGCTGATAGTGTTCCAGCTCCGCTCAGGTAGGGCAGGCGTGTGGAGTCCCCAGACTCCAGCGGCTCCAATGGCTCCCTCCTCATCAGGGCCTCAGCTCGGCGGATGATGTCCCTCATACGGTGGATAAAACCCTCCTTCTCTGCTGGCAAGATGAACTCATTGTGTGCCTGAACAGAGGATTGTAAGGAGGAAATTACAGTGGCATCCAAATGAAAGCAAAAAGCAACATGTTGGTTTGGTTTACTAGGATCTGTAACCATAATAATGTGTGCTGGGATTACTGGGGGAGAGATTGAGTGGTGTAAGTCTTCTAAAACTTGTTGAAAGTGACTTATCAGAATCTCTTATAATCCTACTCAAACAGAATTGTGGAACTGGCACACATGTGAATACACTCACAAACAAACACACGCCCCTGGCCAAGCACACACTCTTAAATGTGTCATAAGACAGAACGACAGAATGAACAGAAACAGCCTGCAGTTCCCGCAGATGCAGAGGCCTGTAGACGGGTCATCTGAGTTGACTCTTGCTTCAGGGTAGCAAAACTTGATAGCACTTTAATTAACAGATTGGTAATAAGTAGGTAATGATATGGTAGTCATATGGTAACAAGTTGTACAACAACTAACTGTAACTTCACTGTATCATTACCCACTTATTACCAATCTATAAGGTGCTACCTAAAACTTCATTCAGCCTTCATTTGCATTTGCAAACTTTGAAAAAAGTGTGCTTTGCCAAGCTGTCTTGCTGCTTTTTGCATTGCGGCAAGAGCGGAGAAACTTTTTTATAAACAGTGTTGAAGGCATTAATATTGACTTCTATGTAAATTGTTGCATAGCCTATCTAAAATTTAAAGCAGGCATGTCAAACTAGGGACCTTTTGGGCCAAAGAGCTGCAGAGATTAGTGCCTACCCTCATCTAATGCTCTGAGTTCAGTTTATAAAGGCCTTGCTAATTAGCTGATGAGCTGAATCAGGAATGTTTAATGAGGCAGTGTGCTGAAGTCTGCAGTGTTTTGGCCCACAAACACTGGAGCCTGACACATGTGATTTAAAGAAAACTGTCACTAGAAATGGAGGACAAATACTCACTTGTGGATTCAGAAAGTACATTTCTATTTCGCCATTCTTTGCTAGGGTTTGTCATGATTTCCCACACATCGTCTGTTATGATGTGATGCAACTTTGCTGACTTTGCTCAAAAGTAGCATACAGCAGATCTGCTTACAAATGGAGTGGAAACCACCCACACAGCACAACCAGCATATGTGTTGAGCGGATCCTGGAGCACACACACTCTTACCGCTTTGCTACCTTGCTATACTAACATTTGATGTTAGCTTGCAAGGTTTGCTATCTGAGCGGAACCAGAGACGTTATAAATGAAGTAAGTTATTTTCACTTGAATAAAACCATGTTCCTCTCTCTGTGCATGAGGAGAGACTGAGAGAGAGAAACTGAAAACTGATTAATATGTCATTGGAAACAGTTAATGGCACATGTTGAAGTTAATTGTCAGGTTCCGGACACTTAAAGCTTAAAATGAAATTAAATATTCTTTGCACAATGCACAAAAAAACCCCCATTTTTTTCAGGTTGTTCTGGCTACTGTGCATGTGCTTATCACCACAAGGGGCCATAACATATGCTATACACAGTGCTCAACCTTAGTTTTAATTTGTCAGTTAGAAATGTTTGTCAGCCAATTGTGTCTAACACTGAATAAGATCTAGTAAACCAGCCTCCATCATATTAACCTACATTGTAAAAAATGGCTCATTTGATAAACGTAAAAAATTACTTCATGTAGTAACAACTTTTGTTTGTGATTAAATGGTCTAGATTATGTTGACTAAATTGGCTGAATTATTGATTAAAACAAGGTTCAACTTGGGCTGGGCAATATTAATCAAACTCAACATTTAATACCTTCCATGATATTTTTGGTATACCTACCTAATACCAAAAATATCATGACAACAGATGATATATAAGTTAGCATTAATAAAGTTAATCAAGCTATGTTTCCTGAATGCTGGTATTCATGCTAAAAGAAAGTCTTACAAACATGACACACAGTCCAAACATGACACCTGGTCAGACTACATGTTTTGTTGAATTTCTAAGTGAAAATAAGTGAACACATCTTCTACAGAGAACACACTTTGGTTCATTTTCATTTAATGCACATTTACATTTACTGTTTATTTGCTGAATTGAACATATTGGAAAACAAAACATAAAATGTAGCCTGTGCAGAGGTTATAGCACATTATATAATTTGTTTTATTTTTTCAAAAATTTTAGGTTTAACTGTGCACTAAAATGTCATATTTTAAGTTTGTTTAACTTATCTCACAAATCAACATGTAATTTGACTAGGGGTGTTTTGAAAGGACTGTTCTGTTTTGTTTTCTGTTCTTAAAATATACCAAAGTGAACCTTGCACAGTATTGTAAATGTTAACCAGACAGGAAGCACATTTCCAGAGAGGAAACTTGGTATGTTATAATGGATTTCATGGAGTTTGAAAGGTTGTTTTAAAACAACCTGAAACAGTCAGTGGCATATGGCGAAGTTAATTGTCAGGTTCTGGATACTTTAAGCTCAAAATTGCATGATTTATTTTTTTTTTTGCAACAAGGATGTAGATATTTTATGGGCTCTATAGAATGGATATAGTACTCCTTTTCTATAAAACTGCTCAATATATACATATGTATATTCATGTATTGCATTATCATGGTATATCAGTATCATTGTCAGCAGTAGTGCATTATTGTATAAGTGTGTTTAGTTCTGGGATGCTCACCATGACCGTAGCAATGTCCTCTGGGTTGTCACCATCAAGATCGAATTTGAATGTCACCATCTTACTGTTGTGTGTTTGAAGCTGGCACTCCACCACCCTGTCCACTTTGTCTGACAGCTTCAAAACAATGAAGGACAGTGAGACACTGCGTTTTACTGTAATATACTCATGTTTGTGATCTTATGATTGAGAGATTTCATACTTAATTCTTATTAACAGAAAACTGCAGTGAAAAAGGCTGTTTTAAAGAGACTAAAATAGATAGAACTGAAGCGCTTCATTTTTTTTTATGTTCCTTCTGACACTTATACATTGAAGGTGAGAGGTGTAGAAAGATACGAGCTACATAGATAATTTAATAGATAATTTAAACAACATAACTGATTCCATACCCCAGTGATTCGGAGTCGGGAGCGAGCTCTTTTCCTCAGCAGTTTACTTCCTGTGCGTTTGTTGGGAACTTTGGGGCTCATTTCTGATAAGCCCTCGTTACCATCACTTAAGCCAGATGTGACATCAGAGGCATAACTGTTCATAGAGGATAGATAATGTGATCAGGACTGACTGTGCAATCAATCAGAAAAGGGGGAAAACCATTAAGTGATATCAGCTGAAAGCATACTGCAATACGCAAAACTGCATATATAAAACTGTCCACTGTCCATTCAATAGTTCAGAATTTATATTATTTTTTTCACTTTTTTTACTATTGTTTTTTGTTATTTCATATACAATATTAACAGTATGTAATTCTACAGTACACAATATGATACAATAATGGTTCAATAATAATCATCTATAGCTCGTTCATAATTCTTGACAGATTTTCAGCTTCATACTTGTGGTTTTGAAAGCTAAGAATATAAGAAAGGATTAGTATACTGAATTCATTTTATGCATTTATCTAAAAACATTATTTTTATATTGTGACATTTATTTGAATCTATCAGCTGAGAAATTGTGCATTGCCAATACACTCTCAAGGTGAAAAAGTAAGGCTACAAACAAATTTAAGCCTTTAAAATTTAAGAATTCCCTCCTATTGAGCTGGCCAATCAGAGCAGTTTTCATTAGCACACATAAAGAACATTCATAAAACACCTGCTTATGACAGAATTATAAAAGGATACACTCAAAAGCTGAATTAATGTCCTTTTTTAAACTCTTCCCAGATGTTTTTCAAAGAGTACAAGACAGTGCTAAACTGTGAAAAAAGAGTAAAATGTGTCTCCTTTAAAACCAGTGCTGGTCATTGTGAGAGCTTATGGCTGCTAGAATGAAACAATCCTAAGACATTTGCCACTACACCAGCATCTACCTCATTTCACACCTGTCTTAAAGAGTGATCTCCTTTCACATCTGATTACTGCACTGGACAGGCAAAAACTACTGAGATCAGTCAACCTTACAATAATGCACTCACCATTGTGTCTATGTGTCTGTGTGTGTATGTATGAGTCATCCAGGAGCGGAAGAACACTCAAATGGAGTATTATTCATGCCATCTAGCATGTGTATCTAAAGCAGAACGGTCAGCAGGTGAGTAAGCCACTGGTCTTTAACAGCTTTGAGTGCAAATCTCTTCTTGGCAAATGCTGATGTCAAACAGTTTTCACATGAGGTAAAAAAACATACATATAGACACATATTGATGAGTCCCACTTTCATCTTATTCCATTATGTGAAGTGGAAAACAGTGCTTGGTCCTTTGTGTGGGTGGGGGCTGTCGTCTAATCTCATTCTTATACTGCGTCAGAATCACCACAGGTAGTACAATGAGCACCTGCAGTTATCTTTCACATTGAAAGGATTTAAAGAAACAACTGCAGAACATTTCTACTAACAGGAAGTGAATCCTATTGCTATTCTAACAACCTTGGACTATGTAACTGCAGTGGACAGTATGGCTATGAATGCAACTTAATTAAAGATAGAATACATTTACCACAAATGTACACCAACAAAGGTGAGTTGCTATGGTTACCTGTCGACTGGAGAAGAGAAACCGCTGGCACCACCAGATTGGACTCGCTCAGTATTTTGGGACACAGCAATGCTCTGCAGGAGAGAGAGAAAGAGAGAAAATGATAAAGAATAAGAGTAAGGAGTGAGAGAGAGACAGTTAGAACAAGAAAAGAGAGAGAGACCGACAGTGAAACAGAAAATGACAGAGAAGGGATGAAACAGAGAGATAGAGAGGTGGAGGGGTAAAACATCAAGAGACAGAGAAAAGGGAAGAGAGAAAGAGTGAAAGAAGCAGAGAGATAGAGATAGAGATAAAGAGAAAAATAAACAGAGAAAAAAGAGAGATGCAGCAACAGAAAGAGAGAGAGCGTAAACAAGGTTTAATTGACTAATATTAATCGTTATTGTGATATTTTTCTTCGCAATAATGGTATCAACGAATGTTAAAATATGCAAATTAGCTCTCTACCTAAGCACACTGTTCTTAGTGTGTGCTCTCTGCCTCCTGACCAATCATAGCTCTAGAGCGTTTCTGTGTGTTTAGATGATGCAAGGTATTCACTTTATACAATAAATATAAAAATAATAATGCAAAACAAATTCAAGATATTTCTTCAATCGTGTGACATTACTGGTTGACCACTGTGGTTTGAATAAACTGCATGATACATAATAACTTCACTGTCCTACAGTCAAATGGGAAGTGCAACTGTAGCAGATCTGAGACATCTTTGTCACAGCAGTCTGTGTGTTAATTAGTGTAATAATGCAGGTGTTCAGAGGAAAGTTTTCCGAATCTTTACTCACTTGAGCACCAGTTAATAAAATGCATAAATTGTGTGAGCACTCTGCAGATAACACTAGTATTGTAGGTATTATGATGTGTTTATGCAATGAAGCACTTAGCATTGATTCTAATTCTAGGTCATATAAACATTTGAGAACGCACAGTAGAACTAGTTCATCTAAAATCAATCAACATACGTGGCACCAGTTAATCTGGCACATAAAAGTACACTCGCATCCCCGCTAATGGCTTTTTCGACTACAGATATTCAGTGTAACTCTCTGATGGTCTGACAACAAACTCAGGTATTACAGTATTTATATTTTCAAACACACTGATGGGACCCAAGGCCTAAGCCCCACCCCTTACAAAGTGGCTACTAACCGAGGGGAAGCGGAGGGCTGGGACTGGTATAGTCTGGACAGATGGGCCTTCTGTAGGTGCGGTTTCACCAACTGGGACTTCCATTTGTGCTGTCTCATTGGCTACTGCTGCGGGTGAGGAGGTGGAGCTTATCACGGGGGAGGGGCCTTCTGATGCCTCTTGAAGTCCAGAGGAGCTGAGGTAGCCGTCTGTCTCGCCGTCCGCTGCCATGACGATCAGGATTCAACAACAAACAGAAGACAGCGATTTATTAGCCGCTAATGCTAATGGCGTACTAAAACGAACTGCGATGTCATGCACAGATTAGCAAGGCTTGAGAGTAACCACAACAATGGACCCAGAGGCAGGCCAACACAAGCAAACAGAATGGCAGGGCTTAAGCAGCCTGTGAGAGGAAAGCCCAACTCCACAACTAGTGTCATAGACCAGGACCACGTAAGGAACTATGGACAGAGTGTAAGAGAGGAATTCAGCAGATGGATTTACACTTGTTGGCTTTTCCAGGCACAAATTAAGCCTAGACTTGGACTAAAAATTGCACTGTCAGTATGGATTCTCCATTCTCAACATTTCTTTTATAAAAGCATCTTTAACCAAACACTGTATTCCATGGCTGTTCTGGAAACATTTTTAATGAGACAGGAACAATATATCACAAGCTCCATAACAGTGATTTGCAAGATGTACGTTTAGGCCTGTCATGATCATGAAATTTTAACTGAATCTTAACTGTCATATAAAAATTGCAATTAACAGTGACACTTTATTTTAAATGGTTCTTTTAGATTAAACAAACACTCAACTGACTCTCAAAAACATGAGTGTTAGGTTTTGGGCTGAGGTTAAGATTAGGGTTAGGATTGGGGCCAGAGTAAGGGTGGGTAAGGTTTGGTTTTGCGTAATGGAAGTAACAGTTTAACAATATATCTACTTAATGTAAGTAATGTATCAACAGGACATCTATAAGATATTTACTTCAGTGTATTCACATGCTTCACTACTGCTACTTCACTGATATGTTGTTGAGGTGTTACTGATAATCTGTTAAGAGTTTATTAATCATCTAGAAAGGACCACTCCAAATAAAGTGTTACCTAATTAACAAATTACTTGTTATCTTTCGTTCATTGTATGCAACTATTAGTAGACAAGCCTAAAGTGGCCAAACTGGCAGACTGGCTAGCTGTCAATACTTAATAGCTCCCAACTGAAGAAAGACACAGCTTGAGCTCAAATAAACAAACATTACTTTTTGCTGCCCTCTAAAGGTGCTATAGCACCTATTACAGCACGACAGAAGTTAGAACTGTCGTTGTTTTTGAAGGCATTTTCTGCTTTCATTTATTTATATGTATTTGCATTAATTGATGAAAATGGACCCAATTAAATTCTGTTTTTGAAGCATAAACATATGATTCTGAAAGCTAACAACTGTTAAAAATTATTGTGATCAGATCAAATAATTGTGATTATGCAATTATGTAATAATTGCCTATGTATGTGTCATAGTATCCACATTTCATGCAAGCACACACACACACACACACACACACACACACACACACACACACACACACACACACACACACAAACACACACACACATTCTTGTATTCTTGGAGTATCAGGTGCCATAACTGGGTCAGATTCATTATATCAGGTTTCATTAATTTGTGCCATCATTGTAGGATTAACTTACACTATTAAATAAACACCAAAATCCTAAATTGGACAAACTAAACACACTACTGTGAAACCTTTGAGCTTGTGTCAGCTGGTTACTTTGCATAATGACTGACTGATTGATTATCCAAAAGACTGATAAGGCCGGTTGATTGATTGATTCTGTGATTAAAGGAGCAGCTTTAGCAAATACTCAAATGCGGCTTACAAAAAGCGCAAGGCAGTGTTGTTGGTTAGTATCATGTTAGCTTTCTTTCACAATATGATTGCTTGAACCCTGTGTCTGTGTGAAAGCTATGTGCGTTGTCAGCATGTTTTAGGCTTTCGTTCACTGTTTGCCACATTAAATATTATTGCACATATAAAAATGCCAATGTAATGTATATAGCTTTTAGCCAAGGCTATTTCACAACTCCTGTTACTAGATAGGCTTTTAGAAAGAGATAAAACAAATACATTCAACTGGTACAGTTAATATAACAAAAATATTAAACCATGAAAATTTATTCCTAAGTGTGTATCTGTACATATATATGTACACATGTGACCATTTATGTTTAAACGTTTAATAAATCAATAAATCAACCTGTTCAATGTTTTTTTTTAATAGACCTTCTGATTGGGAGGTCTATAACTATATGACATCACACACTTACATGTGGCCAACGAGTTGCTAACATTACAGTTTAATGTCATTTAGCATGATGTTAGCTTTCATTTGCTGTTAGCTACATTAAAAATGATGGCTTGAACTTGGGTTTCAAATGTGCATCGCACAAACTTACACGTAGCTGAGGAGTAGCTGGCATGGCGGATGTTGTAGTGCTGCTGCTGCTCTGCTTCTGGGTCCTCCGGCTCTGTGGTGAAGCTGGCGTTAATCCCAGAGTCCATAGAACTATTTGTTGTAGACGGTACTGGGCCAGAGACAGTCACGGTGGGAGGTGTTTGGGCTGGAGTGGATACAGGGGTCTCGGGTGAGGGCTGGGGCTCAAGAGGTGGTGGATTGGGGGCAGGAGGTTCTGTCTCGGGAACGGGTTCGGGTTCCTCCTCAATCACCTCCTCCTGCTGTCTCCTCAGCTGCTCCTCAGCCAGCCGTCGGAGTTTCTCTCGCTGACGTTTGATGGCAGTGACGCGGTCACGGATGGCTTTGGCCACCAGTTTGTAGTCGGCATCGCAGACAAAGCCAAGCACCACCTGAATGAGAGAGAATTATTTCATGGCTATCATTTAAGCAATGGATCTTTAGGCTTTGAATACAGAGGGCTGGGGCTGGTGAATGACAGATTCAGATAACAAGTGTCTTTTGCTGTGACGGAATCACAGTCTTTGAGCTTTGAGCTGATCCTGTTGATCAGTGACCTTGCAAACTGCAGCACAAAGGCTTTATCACAAGGACAGTATGTGAACAGTCTGACAAGCGAAGGGGTTAGGGGATTTTAAATTGGTGTTGTTTTCTTTAAGCCTTAAGTTTTTTAATACTACAATAAGAAGTGGTGGAAAATTCAGGTCCAGAAAGAAAAATCATCCCCAGGACTTTGATCCAAGTGCCTGGACACTACTGCTCCTGAAGCTAACTAGAGAAGCCTGGCAGCTGGAACAAAATCATGGAGAGGACAGGATTTTGAATAATAGCAATTACTATGCTTAAATGGACCACCTGTAGGCTCTCAGATGATAAACACAGAGCAAATAATGAACAACAATTATCAGCCATTTCTAATTGGCACTGTAAAGCAAAATTCAAAATTTTACTGTGAGACAATATGTGAGAATAGGAATATTCCTGGAGCATGTTAACATTTTCAACACTTTCACATTTGCAATGTTTAAGCTACATTATCTGCATGGCACCACTGAACATTCACCTCAATAATAATATGGACAAAACTATGTTTTCATTTATATAGTTCTTCTTCCAAGCTGAAGGCCACTTACCAAATCAAAGATAGAACATGTTCGAATAAAACAAAACACTTAGTAGAGATGTGTTAGCAAAAACAAAGAAGCAGACTGACATTCAAGAGAACAAATATGAAATATAAAACATAAAATATAATATGTGCCCTATGTTTGCACAGGCCACATTTTTCCCCCAAAAATGTTAAACTCCACAAATAAACTGCAATTATGCATTTAAATATGCAGAAATTTGTTCTCTGTAAAGGATGTGTTAACTTATTTTCACTTAGAACAACAACAAAATGTCATTTAAGGAGTTCCGCCAAAACTTTTGAATATGACTATACATTTATTTATATTTGTTTTTAATCAGATTTTTAATCTTAAAGGAGACTCTTACCATCTCCTGTGCCACCTCCTCTGGTACATCCTTGTAGAGTTCAAACAGGAACTCAATGGCGTTGTTGTCCTTGTACTTGCCGTGCAGCTTCTTGGTGTCGTCCATTCGGAGCCAGAGCTTCAGTCCAGACTTCACCATGTCGTCCTCCTCAGCCAGCTCCACATGGACACCATTATTCTCCTGGAAGAAGGGGTGTTCTAACAGGTCCTGTATTGTGTACCTGACCAATGGAAATGCAGCAGGTGAAGCAGAGATACTTCATCAAGAAACTAAAAAGTTTTAAAGTTGTGCTGCTGGACAGAGCACTTTGTTTCTCATGGGCTTCAACTATAAAGTTTTGTCAGCCTGCAGTAGAAGGTGGTTGAGATTCAATTGTCATTTAAAAGTACAGCTATTCCTTTAAACTACATCCGAGCTAGAAATTTCACTTTGGGCAAAGTCTACACACAGGCCTTTCAACACATATAGGCCCAATCCCATTTCTTAGTTTTACCTCTACCCCTTGTTTTCGAGTGTCACCTTGCCCCTTGGAACAAAGGGCAGTGGTTGAAATCTTCCCCTATGAAATGGGACAACCCTCAAGTTCAGCAATCTCGATGTGGGTATTTAGTTAAACTTAGGGCATCATATGCTTTTATAGAGGGGGGCATGCAACAATTATTTATTATCACCCACCCCTAATTCTTCACTGATATGAATCTGAAGTCAGCTTCTTGTTCAAATTTTCCTGTTTCCCCCTAAATGCCCTCAGGCCTCAGAACTGCTGCACAATTTAAGGTGGAACGAGAAATTTAGCTTGCTAGCTATTGAGACATTGGCATACTACTAATGAATTTTTATGGTTATTATAAAGAAAAGGACCATAAAACATTGAAACAACATTAAATTAAGATAATACAATGGTTTTCCATGTAACCCTAGCACTTCACCCTACCCCTCTGTCTCAGCAAAAAATCGGAACACCCTTCCCCTAGGCGTGAATGCGCAAAACGGAGGGCTATGGGCTAACAGGTAGGGGCAAGGGGTGAAATGGGATTGAGCCTTAGTATACATAGTGCAGAGATGGAATATATACTAAACACTGTTTCACAACTTGAGGTATGTCAGCAGTGTAAAGCTGACTAAGACTAGCAGTTTCAACTCTACAAGTTGAAAATAAAAAGAGAATCTGAACAATACTCTTGCTGCTGGTGACATAAGCAGCTAGAACTGTTTTATGACAATATTGTAAATGTTATTAAATTATGCACTGCTTACAATGATGAACAGGCATGGTTATACATAGTTTGCAAATTATGTAGTCACTGACAAAGGAAAGAGGCTGAGGGAGAACCCACAGTAAGCCTCTTAAGTGATAGGCTGGTGAAAAATTAAATTTACCCAAGTTTCTCCCTACTCCGAATAAATCAGTTCAGCCATAACAGATTTGATGTTGAATGTCTGCTTCTATAGTTTTGCCCTGGAGTTAAGAGGCTAACATAGCTAATGAGTAACAGCTTAGAGCACATCAGCAGTGTGCAAACTGAAAGCCTTAAGCAGACTCACTTGCACAGTTCCTGACTCTGTATGACATACTGTTAACTGGGGTTGGCAACAACTAATTGACAATATCGATAACATTGATAATAAAAATTGTTGGCAACGATCCATGTTATCGATTGGCTTGATGATGTTTGCGCTTCTTATTCACAGCGCATCCCTGTCTGCTTTTCAGCTAATTCAATTTTAGTTTAGCAGAGAGAATAAGCAGCGTTGGTTGAAGGGGTGAGTTGCATTTTGAAACTGCTGGTCTAAACAGTTCAGCTTAACAACAAAGTTCTCAGGGCTGCTTCTATGCTTATGCTTTCAGGCTAGCTCAGATGTTATTTCCTCCAGGTTTTAACCTCCCAACCACACACAAACAGAGCTCTAGGTCATTGAGACTTATTAAAATTCTATTTTGAATATTTGAATATAGAATGACAAAGACAGAAGTATAAATCTGTTACTGTGACATTGACAAAAAGCCACCTTTAGAAAATATGAATTAAAATTTAGGTGTTTGATGTGTTTTTTTTTATTTTTAATTTGATTAATGAAACATTATTAACAGCCTAATATCTGCAGATTTTTTTTACAGCTAATTGATTAATCCAAGTCATAATGGACCTACTAATCAATTATCAAAATAGTCACTAGTTGCAGCCTTACTGTTTTCAATAAAAAATATATAGCATAGCTAATCCGTAGCAGCAGCCAACATGAAGTTTTCTGTCTGGACTTTTGTGCACTTTTATAGATAACAGTATGTCATGCTGTGTCAGAAAACACATTTAAGCAAGTCTATTTGAAACTTGTAGTCTGCACAATGCTAATTAGTGGGTTAAAGCTTCCATTACCTGCTGGCTACATTAGCTTTGCAGCTTTAGTGTAAAACTAAAGAAGCCAACTTCAGACACCAAACTTGTCTTGGCTGTTTGACCACATTTTGTTTAAAGGGAAACTGTGTACATTTGACTTTTGGCAAAATCATTGCTGTAAAGCTGTAATGTTCAGGTTTGAGAGCCAAACCCATGAAGCAGAAGGTCTTGTAACATGGCAACCCCTGAAGTGAGTTCATCTAGAGTGTGTAACACTGTTATTTTTACCCCCCCCCTCTGCGTCACCCAGTCGCTGCAGCGGGGAACAGGAATAGCAGCTTGCAGGTTTTTCTGCTTTTCTGTCATCAGAGACCAGCTGCTATTGTTTAAATGTTAAAAACCTGAACATGGATATTGTTATCAGTCTCTCATGGGGTGGAAAAACTGGCTTGGCTAGTGTTAAACATTTTAATGAAAGTTGTCAGGTACACGTAAGCATGTTTGCATGTCCGCACACACTGACACTTCATTACAGGGTGTGAGTTAATGATTTTCCCAGTGCTGAGGGCTGGGGCTTGTGGAACAGGTGTGTGAGTTTTTCTCTGCTGATGTTTAACCTACCTTTCAGCCTTGTTCATGCGGATGCAGCCCTCTATGATCTCCTTCAGCTCGGGCACTCTCACTTTGAAAAAACTGTCTGGCTTCATGCCCTGTGAGAGAGACAGAAAAACCAAGAGAGAGAGAGAAAGTGCAAGTTTGTAGTGGGCATTTTTGTTAGATCTGAGAAATGTCAGGTGTCAGTCATGCTAGAAATGCTTTTTAATTCTGGGCAAAAAAGCCTCTATTTCTGCTGTTTAACCTGCCATTTGCCTTTAATAACATGATTTCTGAATTCTGTCTTTGCACTTTGATATGTAAAGAACGTGACTCAACAAAGCAGAAGATTTGTAGATTTTGTTTGTGCCACAAACAAATTATTAAAACAAGAAAACACATAAGCAGGTTTTCCAAACATTTAGGGGCCCTAAGCATCATATATTCAGAAGTCCACACCCATTTCAACCATATTATTTTGTATTATGATCATCTCTTGCAAGCTAACATAAGATGGCAACACACAGTCTGCTTTTACATTGAAATATTCCAGTAGTATCAACATATTAAATCATATAAAGTAAATCGTGTTACAGAGGAAGCCAGAGACATTATCAACGACTGTACAGTAAGCCAGCAGTTTCAGAGGTTAATATTTTATATCTTGGGATGTTATGTTTAGTGAGAAGCATAAAATATTTCCCAGGTCTTTTAAAAACAAAGAACAAACTGAGACAAATCTCTAACAACACACACACACACACACACACACACACACACAGATGTATGACCTTAGGGCTTTAGTCCACAATACGCTGTTCTTCTTCCTCATCTCTATCCCAGGTTGTGTGTCTCTCTGCACATCTTACCTTTCTTTCTCTTTGTCCTAAATACAGTCACAGACTGACCTGTTGATCAGTTTACTGATAGATCAGTCAGACAATCAATAATATAGAAAGTCTGTGTCTGTGTCCACGTTTGGTTGCTGTCTGTTTTCTCCCATATCTCATACCTTTTCCTTTCTCTGACTCACTCACTCACATACTCGCACATACTCTGAGCATACAATGGTGGTGGGGGGGGCACAGTAAAAGGAACGTTTCCCACATATACACGAGCAACATACTTACTATGAATTTATTACACTACCCTTGAAAACAGATGTTTCACCAATCGAATTGGTAATTATCAGCAATGATAACAAAAGCACACTGTAATTTTCTATTATTTCTCACTCACGGCTCACTGAAAGCAACAGAAATATTCTGTTGAAAGTACAGCTTCTAAACTTTTAATCCATCCCAAATATGTGTTTGTAAGTACAAGAGGAATTTCATTATGCTTTGAATTTGATACATAGCTAGTGTTCAGTTTTGTTTTGAGGAAAGAAAACACATCCTTTACATTTTTGCCATACTTTTGTAATTTGCTGACATTTAAAAAAAAATCCAGACTCAAAACTGATGATACAGAATGTAAAAGCATTTGAAAATGCACTCCAAAATGCTGTACATGCATTTGTCATAGAAGAAGATTGTCAAAATACACATTTTTATTTCTGGAATAAAGGTATTATAAATCTTAACATTAATATTTCTTGTTTGTGTAAAATCTACATCTGACAACTTCTAGCAATACATTTATAGAACAATAATCTGTGCTTTACATTCTGCATTAATGTATTATTAGAAGTTTAATGAACTCAAAATTTGAAAGCAACCAGGTTACTTCCTTTTTTAACTTAAAGCACTAAATCATTTTTACAGTGTAGTTGGTTTACCTATATCACAGGCAAGCATTCACCTCTGTTTACTTGTGTCAGATTAATGGATTTTTCTGTTCTACAGAAATTTACAGAGTCAGAACTGGTCACAGTGGTGTTGATAGTAATCAGACATCTGAAGAGCCTTTAAAAGCTACATCACAGAAAATTATTACATGGAATTGTCATGAATATGATGCCTGATGCAGAATAGTTTCAGAATAGTTTTGTGCTCAGGTCATGGACTACAACATATTTTTTATTAATTTATGGAGAGGTATATGCAGGGTGTTATAAGGCAAAATAGCCCCCATATAAAACGTATTTTTTCAGACTTACCAGTACTTTATTCCTATCCATGTTATGTATAAAAATGTAGGCTCATTGGTGGTTTTGTACAGTAAATAAAATGTCTAAATTTGTATTACAGACATTGAAAAAAGTAGAATTCCTATTAATCTTTGCTGCTTTTTAAACTGAACTAATCAGGTTGTTTTCTGCAAGTAGTGACAATCATACAATTCTGAAAGCAGATTAAACACTGTGTGTGTGCTGTCTTGATAGCAATGTAGACCACATATTATGACCACTATGGAGCAAAGAAGTGCTGTAAAACTCCTTTTTCTGGCTCACATCTATCAGAAATACATTCTATTCAACCAATTGTAGTCAACTGATGAACTGAACTCTTTAACAGTTTCCACTTTCTAGGAGACTCTCTTGTGTCTGGTTTAACTTGGCATGCTCTCTCCACTTAGCTTAATGCTCTGGGTCAATCAAGGGTTACACAAACAGATGAACTAAACGCAAAGATGGCACGGACACTTTCAGCAGGGTAAACAAGACACTAAAAGGTATTTTTTTCAAGGTTTAATTAAATATTTCAAATTTTCCAACACAAAATTATACAATCATAATACATTGTTATTTTTATTTATTTATTTTATTTCTTGTCAAATTCTCTGCCTCACAATGTTTGTAATAAGAAATATTATTTGTGTCATAACTTTAGAACTTCTACAGTTTTCTCAGTCATTTTAGAATCACCTAAGCTACGTTCATTATTCTGGAAAACTTCTCAACTTTCAAAACCTTAAATGGTTCCAACCTTGTGAATAGTACTGTATTGACAGACGTGCACTGGACTCATCTGGCCTTAACAAACTTAACTAAACCTAACAAATACATAAACTGTGATTGCAGTATTTGAATCCTGGCGCCTTGAACGTTTAACTGAGTACTTGAGTACCCATAGACACCTCTATTGTAAACCCACTGTGGAATATTATATTAATTGTCACAGCAGCAAACATATCATAACCACCATGGTACATTATCAAAGTATTGTGCCAGGATATTGACATCGGTATAAATGTATGTTGTTACCGACATTAGTCTACCAGTATTGGCTTTACCTTATGGATGTCCCAGTGTGGTTTGGTGTAGAGAAGCCAGCAGGCATTGAAACTGAATAAGTGTAGATACTTTTTTTAGGCCTACAGGCTTTACATTAATCAGACATTATACAGAATCATGTTGCACACATCTACTTAAACAAAGTTTTAACATCATAGCATTTAGCCAAGAAGTCACGCAAAATGCGGAATGAAGGCAGTATAAAAGACTACAGAAAGTCGACAGAGTCAGAGGGGAAGCCAGCTCCAGTTCCTTGCTAGAACATGGAAGCCATGGCACTTATCTTTAAAAATATGACACTAGTTCAGTTCACGATTATTATTCATTCAGCCAAATGTAAATAAATGTTTTGCTGCTCTGCATAGGATTTTGCCATACTGCCAGTAGACTATAGCAAATAAGTTGCCCATAAGTTCTCATTTATATATTAGGGGTCCAAGAACTTAAAACCGACTCGTGACCTGACAAAACTCCTTCTGATGTGCTACTCTTTTGTCAGCATCACATATGCCTGTTTACAAATGTCCTTGTAGCACGTTCCCTGATAGCGAAAAGGTCAGTAAAATAGGTTGAGATAGCTGTTACGTAACTGCTGGCTGTGGTCAGATTTAGGAATGCTAATAGATATTAAGTTTTTAGGATAAGTAAGAGACAAAAATCTCCTATAACTTAAGAATAACTCAGCTTGTATTTAATGAATAATGCAATTTAGGATGTAACAAGCTTGAGAATTTAAGGGGTTGAACAAGCCAGCTGGGCCACACATTTTGACTAATATTTATTTCAAGTAGCTAAGACATCTGATAACTAATAATATTGGCTAAAATACACAATATATATGTTTGGACCAACATAGCTCTATTTGTCATATTCTTAAAGAGAATTTGATTTTATGTCCTATGCTTAAATGCAAATTTCTAAAACAAAACAAATCAAAACTCCAATACTTTTAGTTAAACAGTGCTTTACTCACTAATATGAGTGTCGCCTGTCAACTTTGAAGTGTCTTTGCCCATGATTGTCTTTGCCCATTACATTTTATGTAAGCAAATTCGATTTTTTTCCCAAAATAGAGTTCAGCAGGGGAGAAAAGTTAAAGTGGGACAAAGAAGCTTCATGCCGTTTGCTTTTGAAGTGAGAAGAGCCAATCAAATCTACCTATCATCAATATTGACCACAAGGATGCTCTTCATTCAGTTTGTTTTCACTGGACTGGCAACAATCATTTTGGACATGATTTTAATATGAAATTGACCTCAGTCTACCAAGCGCATGGTAACTGGACCGAGAGTATTGATATAATATGATATGAGTGTTACTTCCCAATTCTCACATTTCTTAAACTCTTAGCAGTCTCTGAAGACAGCACATACACAAAACCATCAAAACCACTTTCACCAATACCAGTATATATAAGACCTCAGAACTGCCCAATCTTGTCACCTATCCAATATAGTGGTCATTCACTTTTACTGTGTTTGTTGGAATGCAAACACACAAACAAACACACATACCCAAGGCCAAAAACAAGAGTCATAAGAGAAAAATATTTGGTGAAAGGAAGACAGTGAACGCCACACTAAGCAAAATCGTGTCTGCGACGTGCCGCGGAGATAGCGTGGGTTTGTTTAGCGATAAGAAATCCAATTTGCGCCAAGCGGACACTGTTTTCACGCTCCATCGCGCCTCTTGAAAGAAGTGACTCAAAACAAAGCCAAGGTCTCGAGTTGCCAGGTTGGAAACATGAAGTAGTCCAAACCACCATGTAAAATTTATGAAGCGGAAAGCATGAGGCATAGCGCAAAAATCAGCCAAGCAGCACAAGGCTGCACCAATCACAGAGCTACAGGGTTTGAGGTGTTCAAATGGTAAGTATTCAATAAAATGGTAACACTGTATTCCAAGCCAAACTCATCTCTTCAAAACCTCTTTCAAATC